CACTGGTCAGGTTTTCCTGAGAGTCTGCAAGCACCTCATGCAAATAAAGGCTGACTTTTTCATTGTCATTGCCATGTAAAGGAAGGATGCAAATTAGGGTTTGTGCAGCCTCAGATGCATCACTTCAGTGATGAAATTATTTCCAGGGTTTTAATGTGCAAAATGTTCCAGCACCTTTTAAAAGAGGTGGTATATAAAGAAAAAATTAATGTAATTCCCTCTTTTCCAAAGCCTTTTTGTTTAAAATAAATACTTCTTGTTACTGCTAAAGCATCTGCTAAACCTGCACATAAGACACAGTGTAGGTACTGTTTTCAAATTTAAGAAGATTCCACCTGAGCAAATTATTTCTAGATACCTCAATTTCTGGAAAGTATCATATGTTCCTACTCTCTTATTATTTATCAAAAAAAAACACCAAAAAACCACATAAAATCAACCAAGCAACCAACAAACCCCAGAATCCTGCACATATTTGGCTTAGTTCCTCCATTTTTCACTGCAGAGTACTCATGAGAGATCTAAGTTACATTTTCTGGAATCTGAGGAGTTTGAAAATCATTTTCATTTCAGTGTTGAAACAAAAAAAAAATCCTACTCTGTAATTGTCTTTAGCTTTTAGGTAGCTCGTGGCTTTCAAAGTGAATAGCTCATTTTGAATGTGATTGACATTTTTACAGGAAATTAGTACCATTTGTTTGTTAAGTAACTTTCAAATTAGAAGTCATGGTAAAAATGCAGTCAATTTATGGAGCATTTCAGATTTTGATTTTTTTCCCTCTCATATTTAGTGATAATGACAAATCCCTTTTTAATGAAGTTTTAAAATGAAAGCAAATCTCATGTGGCTTTTTTTATCACCTATTTACTTTAGATCAAAACTCTTATTGTCCTGAACCACAAGCATTATGCAGGCTAAAAATGCCATATTAAAGCTGTCGTTTTAATCCCAAGCCATGGATTGCACCATAATTTATTGGATAAAATTATAGTAACAAATAGCAGTGATGATGTAACACTATATTTCAACATGTTTTACAGCACCACAATGTTATTCTAGTGATTATTCTGTAGTTGGAATAAATATTACTAAATTTGAGACAGATTTATTATGGTTTTAGACTTTCTTTTACTTAGTCCAGGAAACAGAGGATTCATACACTAACTCTCATGAACATTAATGAGCATTAATTGCTTATCTCCCTTGTGTACTGAGAGGAGTTTCTATCCCTCTGGCTGTCCTGTATGTTAGCACCTTTTAAGGTTTGGTTTGGGACTAGATTGTCCCTCCAGTTTCAGCACTGTGTGAAAGGAGGCACTGAGCCAGGAAAACATTTCAATCCTTCTTCCCTTCATCTCTCTTGCCCTTGAGAACCCATCCACTGGGTTGTCTCAGCCAGGCCAAGCCACGTGCAGACTTTTTGCAGCTCTGATGCTCTCTTGGGTAAATAAAGGGCAAAATGCACGAGCAGGTCAAACCCAGCCCAGCCCTTCTGCCCCTCACTCCAGCTGCAGAGAGCCAGGAGGCCACAGGAGGGACCTGAGAGGATGGAGAGCCTCATTCTGCTTTAGTGTCCTAAACTGGCAGGTGAGGTCTGATTCCTCATTATATTCATCCTAAAAACACAGCTTCAGGTTTGGAACAAATAGATTGTTATCAGAGAAATTTGAATGGAAATACATGAATTGAATTTGTTGGAAATAAATTCAGACCACGCTTTCAGTGAGATGCTGAACAGTGGGAGAAACTTGCACTCTCCACTGACTGTTCATTGACTCTCATCATTCTTTCAGTCAGAGACATCCCTCTGTGATGTTAAGAAGAGCCATTTATGGCATTTTCAGCTAGACCCAAAACAGCAGAGGAAAACCAACCTCCCAAGAGAATCTGTTCTTGCGTCAGCAGCCCAGTTCTGCAGACTGCCGTGGCTCTGGCTGTTCAAGGCACGAGGCTCACAATATGCATTTGCATTTCTCACCTGCTTGCCAGTATCTCTCAGGAAGCAAAGGTTGAGTCCTGTTTCATCTGTACCAGTGCATAGCATTTACTTTAATTACCTTGTCCTGAAATAGCTGATTTCCTTTTGATATTTACACTCTGTATCAATACATTACAGGAATGGCTCTATCTGGCCTGTGAAAAGTTTCCTTCCACATTATAAAGTCTATGCTTAAATTCTGTTCCCATATTTACCTTTTAGATAATTTTCAATACCTCAGAAAATAGTATCTTTTAAATACAGTCCCCTGCAAACCTGATCTGTGAGGTTTAGCCTAGTGCTCCAGCCAGAATCTCACAGACCAAGTGCTTAATGGAAATGAGCAGAAACTGGGAGATATTTCTCCATTATGAGTTAAGTCTTTGAGAGCTTCAGAGCACTTTGGGGCAACAGAAGGGGGAAAAGTATGGTAAACAATTTCAGCTTTTCAGTTTGGAACCTGTTTTGCTGTAATTTTGAGACACGATCTAAACCACAGGCAATTGATCATAATGAAAAAAAGGCATTAATGAAAGTAATTGACAAAAGCCAGTACACCTGTCAAAGAAGAGAAACCTTGAAAAGGAACGGCGAGCTTTTGAAGGTCAAGGCTCAGTGTGGTGTAATCCCTACCATCTGTGTTCAGGCTGGTGCTATTCTCAGACTGTCATATGCACTCTCTTCTTTGAAAATAACAGACAAGGGAAAAAAGGCTTACCCGACAGGGAGCCTAAATGTAGTTAGTTTTACAGAAAATGAAAAAGCGCCACTGTATAAACTTAAGATGACCCTTAATTTTCCTTCCCCTTGACCTACACACGTCCACAATTGGTTTCAGAGCTGTAGTGGCACTGGGAATGAAAATAACTAAGGGGCCAATAAAATGCAGCAGTTATAACTGTGAGTTGGAATAGTAGGCAACCATACCCAATGCAATCAGCCAAGCATGGTATTGCCCTGCAAACTCACTAACCTGATCAAGAAATCTCAGCCTTTCCTTCAGCCGAGAGAGCAAAGGGCAAAAGGTCTTGTAGGGTCTTGCCTTGACCCTGCAAAAAGCTCTGGGCAGATTCCTGTGCCCGCACCAAATGTGCAACCCATGGTTGCCTCATCCTTTTGGATTTTTGGGAAGTCCTACTCCCTAAAGCTTCTGGACATTTTCAAACAGCAGGGAGAAGGCTGACACACTTGTGTTGGATTGTGAGTGTGAGCATATCCATGTGCTGGATCTGCAGAGCCCAGAAAACCTCTCAGCCAGTGCCCGCTGTCTCTCAGTCCACAAGCACAGGGCTGGACCAGGCAGTTTGGGTACCCAGCTCCTGCCAGAGGCCCTGCTCAGGACGGGAGAAGCTGTGTTCAAGGCCCTGTGCTTTCTGAACACCAGCTACCAGATATCAGAGCAATCAGCCCCATTCACGCCTGGCTTAGCTTGTTGCTTGGGTGACTAAGAAAATATGAAGAGAATCTTCTTCACCCACAAAATAGCTTAGCTTGATCAGGTCACTTTGTGTGGTCTGGAGTTCAAATCCCTCAGGCAGATGAGGAAATTGAATTCAGGTTTCCCACACACTGACAGGATATATTAATCACAGCATTATTATATTAAATAAGGGCATTAGCTCCTTCATGGCAGCTCTGCTTTGAAAGAAAAGGTTTAGAAATACAGCCCCAGAAGCTGGAGTGGAAACTCCAACTGTCTCCTCCAGACATCCTCGTAGCATCTGAACATGAGGTCCTGGTGAAATGTAGCATTTAACACACATATTTGTTCTTGTTAAATCATCAAATGCAGAGGTGGCTGCCTTCTTGCTTGTTTTGTTTCTTATTCCTCTCTTTTCAAACATCCACACACATCCCTCAGGGAACCTCTTTGGGAAGTTGCTCCTTACAGAGGGTGGACAGACATCTGTAGTGATCAAGCATTTGGTCTTTGGGTTTCAGCCTCTTCAGGCTTCTTTCCAACTCTATTCTAGATTATTTCACACCAAAAAATCAAGGATGTGAAAAATTTTCAAAACTTTTACAAATCCCCAAATTTTCTAATTTAATTTCAAAATAAAATTGATAAATGGATACAGTAGGCTGCTACTTGGAGACTTTTCTGTTTTAAACATTTTTGTATGAGAAAGGTTCATCTATTAAAATAACGATAAAGGAATTTTTATAGACCTTTTTACTGCAGAATGCAGACATATGAAACTACAAAGCACAACCAAACAGATCCCCCCAGAAGTCATGTTTCATGCACTTTGTGGGAAATGGTGTATATGAAAAGCTGCTATTTCTGTTACTTTTGAGTCATAGAAATGGTGTGACTAAAAGAGCAGGTATAAATAATGTATATATGTTATATATACTTCTTGCTCCTGAGAAGAAAAATTAAAAAATAAAAAGTCTGCCTCCATGCACAACACCAGAACACACCACATAAAGCATCCCTCTGTTAAATGGAGATTCCTGGGAAAACAATCCCCATAAAAATAACATATAAAAAAGTAATAGTGTTCCACAAATGTCTAATTAAAAAGGTTCTCCACCTCTTTGAAAGAAACACATTTTATTTGCCCTCATTAAGGTGACCTAACCACTGTGCTTCACCCTTCCCTGCCTGCCTGATGTAATCAACACAATCCCTGAAAACAGCAAACAAGAGGCAAAGAATCGCCTTTCTCCCCCTGAGCTTTAACTGCCTAATCAACTTTAAGCATATACCTCAATTAATGATTCAAAAGACATCCTATTGACCCTGTATCATCCAACTCTACAGTACTTACAGAAGTTCAGGGCTGGATCTGCCTTGAAAAGCAGTTCCAGAGAATCTTCACCAATACCTTTTTATTCACACTCACTCAAAGTAAACATTTATCTTACTATTTTTAACTTTGACCTGGATGCACTCACTGCTGAGAGAATGAAACTTCTCACTCAGAACTACAAGCAGGCAATTCTGGCAATTCTTCTTGTTTGCATTAACTACCTTTTTCAATTAATTCCATTTCTTTACCTTTTTCTCCACTGTAGGTGTCTCAGGATGAGGTTTGCTTGCACCAAAGCTGTACAAGCCAAGGTCAGAGAAACTGAGGGAGGCTGAAGCTGCATTAACACACAGGAACATCCAGGGTCCAGCTCACAACTGCTCCAGTGAACTGCTCACAGCTGTGGAGGAACGTCATGGCCAAAGCTGTGCTAGACCACAACACCATGGAGAAAACTTGGAGTTGGTACAAAAGGTGAGAAGTGTGATCGAGTCAAGGAATGCTGGGATACTCACTGGACAGTCGTGGAAGAAGAGACATGACAAAAAGCAGTGTGAGACAAGACTGAAGTCTCTTGATTTATGGCTCTTGAAGCTGTATAAAGGAATGGAAACTTCAGAAAATAAATAAATATTCTAAAGAGTTCACAGCTTTACAGAATAAAAAGTAAAATTGAAATCTAAAATGGAGATGGAAATGCAATGAAGCCTTACTAGTCTGAAACTCAATGCCCAGTGGCAAAAAAAAGGAAATATGCAGAAAGAAAGAAATGAGGAAGATAAACCTAAAACTCTGCAAAATTTTTATTAAAATGCATAAATAAATATTTTTCTATTATAGACTGCAAAAAAATCCTATTTTGAAATTTCCAGAGTTTGGTATTTTATGCACTGGCTTGCCAATCTCAAGGCACACCTGAAAAAATAAAGTGGGAAAGAAGTAAAAACATTCATAAGGGGAGCACTTCCATGCAGAAAGAGTGAAAGAAGCCAGATCACAAAAAAAGTACAAAATCACAAAAAATCACAAAAAGATTTTCATTTGTGATGGAGCTCGTCATCCTTTAGGAAAAGAATCTGACAATGGCTGGGAATAAATTTCTCAGCTCACAATTCTAAGCAGTTTATGTCAACATTTTTTTCTAGTAATTCTCAGGGTATATACATTTTTTTTCTCCTACAAGAGGTATCAGCTCTTGTCAACATGTAGTAGGTGCAAAATTTGTACATTACAGCATTACTGATATGCTGCTGGTACCATCTCCTACATTATAATTAGCTGCCCAACAAAGAGAACAAGCTGCTGCTTTGCCTTTCCTGCCTTCTGGAATGAAGCATTCCACAAAATGAGTGAGGATCAGGAGGGGTGGAGATCAGGATACAGGGTGCGTGCTCTGAACTGCACTTCTACATTTCAATTTGTCACCATTGTTTTGGCTCTCCAGTCCCCCCTGCTTTTTTGCAAAGCCACTGGAGAGCAGGCAGAAGTCAGGCTGAGCAGGACTGCCCAGTCCCCTGCTCAGGCTGACAAGCTGGCAGTAGATATCTTTCATTCAGTACATCTCTGTAAATTGCACAAAAAAATGCCTGGGGAGCCTTGGTAATGAATACATCAGCTTTTACCCTGCACTGTAAAAACAGCTATAAGGAAATTATTTCTATGCTACAGAGGGGGTACACAGGCTAAAAAGAAAACACAACACTTGCCAGAAAAATAAATGCCCTGCTCCATCAGAGAGATGAGGGAGAAAGATAAAGAGCTCTGTTTGTGCTACGCCATCGTATTGGATTTGCATGGCAAGGTCTGGGGAACAGGGGAGCCACAGGGGTGACTTCTCTGAGGAGGTGCCAGAAGCTTCCCCTGTGTCCAAAGGAACACAAGACAGATCCACTGCTGGCCAAGGCTGAGCCCCTCAGCAGCAGGGGCACCACCTCCAGGATAATGTGTTAAGGAAGGGGAAAAAGCCTGTACAGCTGCACCTGGGGAGAGGGGTGAGGATGTGGGAGAGCAGAAATCCTGCAGGCCCTCAGTCAGTGCAGAAGGAGGGGCAGGAGGTTGGCCAGGCAGGAGCTGGGATTGCCCTGCAGCCCTTGGAGGTCCTGGGGGGCAGAGATCCCCCTGCAGCCTGTGGATGACCCCACACTGGAGCAGGGGGGATGCCCTAATGGGCTGTGAGATCATGGGGTGACCGCTGTGGGTCAGTTTTGCTGGCAGGACTTGTGACCCACAGTGGAGCAGTCTGTTCCAAAGGACTGTAGTCTATGGAAGGGACTTACATTGGAGCAGCTCATGAAGAACTGCAGCCTCTGGAATGGACTTTTGTTGGGAAGTTCATGGAGAACTAGACCCCATACTAGAGCAGTGGAAGAGTGTGAGTCCTCTCCCTGAGGAGGAAGCAGTGGAAGAAACAATATGTGATAAACTGACCAAAACCTCCATTCCCATCCCCCTGTGTCACTGCCAGGGAGGAGAAAATAAAAATGGGAAGTTAAACGGGAGGAAGAAGGATTGAGGGAAGGTATTATAAGATTTGGGGTTTTTTCTATTATCCTACACTGCTTTGATTGGTAATAAATTCAATTATTTTTTCCCTGAGTTGAGTCTGTTTTGCCAGCACAGGTTGGTAACTGGTGAGGGACCTCTCCCAGTCCTCAGCCCAGGAGAATTTTATATTTTCTCCCCTCCATCCAGCTGAGGAGGGGAGTGATAGAGCAGCTTGGTGGGCACCTGGTTCCCATCTGAACTGAAGCAGACTACAGATCCTTCCCCTCATTACCAGGGGCAAATACCAATACAGACAGATACAGCTCCTACCTTCCATGTGATGCTGCTTGCTGCCTGAGTGAGGAAGTTCTTTCGCTTAAGAAGAAAAGCTGGGGAAAGCAAATGAGAAAAAACTGTCATGTGATCTATTATTACCAGTCACAGTTATAACCTTAATTTGCAAAATGCAACACACAAAAGCTCCTGATGCTGGTTAGGGCTTTCATCCAACAGCAGCAAGACAGAAGTGCCTGAGCAGCCCATGGTCCCCACCTCGCTTACCCTTTGTCAGGTGCCAATTAAATCTTTGCAATTTTTGTGCTGCACTCTGCTGTTTCCAGAGTCTGATGGGACTGACAATGGGTATTGTTGGGATAACTCAGAAACAGCAGGAGTTTTGTGCATTTCACTCTCTGGATTCTTGAATTTCTCAGCTGAGGTCCAGTTTTCAACTAGCCTCAGTTGAGCTGAGAGCAAAAAGAACTACATAGCCTACAATTTGAGTTTTGATTGAAACAGCTTTCTGATTAGCCTCAGATAGAATCCTTGTCCAGACCCATGCAGCAGAAATAGCAGCAGTGTCTGAGAGAGGGGGAATTGCGTGTCCTGTCCCCCAGCCGAGCGGGATGGGCTCTCCATTGTATGTATTTATGGAGCTCAGCTGAACCCTCAGGGTAAAAGGGAACAAAGAATAGACTGTTTTTCTCCTGAAGCATCTGGGTGTAAGTCTTATTTTGCCAGCAACCGTGGTGTTTATGGGCATGTTTTACTGGAAACCTGCTGCTTCTCACAACGTTTCCTGAGTGACTGTCTTAGTAAAACTGCATCTGGAAATGACAAGCACACAGCTGTAAATCTGAAAAGCAGTGTGCAGCCCTAATAGCTAGCAGCTACAGCACAGCTGTCCTGCTGAACATTGGAAAGATTTACAAAGACAAAGCAGAGCAATGAATATGTTTCTGAGCGCTCTGTGATCACATTACACCTCTTCCAAGATTTTTTTGCTGCAGACATAGAAGGGACCATCACTGCTCTTTGAGTGAGTGCCTCAGGCAGGTAACCTATTATTGCTTACCTGCCTAAGGCACCCAGAATTTCTGCCCTGTACCTACCTTCCAAAGCAATGGTTAATGTTGTATTATATCATTTTTCATTTTCACCTGAGTTGGATCCATGACAAGAGCAAGGCCAGGAAAATGAGCCAGCCTAAAAAAATGCACACTGCTACAGCAGTGTGCAGCATTTTCAGCATTGCAGGGAGTGTTCATGTAGTGGAATCATCATAAAAGAGACATGTAAGAGGAAGAGGTGAAGGAGATTTGTGCTTTTCATTATCATGTGCCCTGAGCTGTGGAATCCCATAACCACTCTGGATCTCCTGAAGCTCTGCATGTGAGGAGGCAGAGGCAGGAGATGGACAGAGGAAACGACCAACACACTTTGCAGAAATACTGACTTGGCTGGCAGGAGGGATTGTTGCTCTACTGGACCAGTCATTGCCAGGGAGGACTGGAGCCAAGGTGCTGGAGTATGGAACAACATGGCAAATTGCCCAGCATTGTAAAGAAATATAGTTGTTCTTTTCTGTGTAAAAATCTAGGCAATAAAGTACTCATTAAAAAACCCCACCCTGATATTATAATAATAATGATTATGATGATGATGATGATGGTTGTTTTCCATTCCTAAAGCAAGAAATCCTAATTTTCTAATTCAAAATATCTTTTCTTTCAAATGCCCTGAAGTATTGCTAAAAAGTATAACACCTAAAAACACTTGAATCCTTAAACAAATTATCTCACTTGACCTAAGGATTTTTGCAATTCCTGCAGATATTCACACTTAAACATATTAATATGTAGAGGTGTATTTGTGAAAAAACAGGTGTTATTGAATTATTTAAACTGGGTTGTTTGCTTAAAACTAGTGTTAATTTTATGCATATATATATATGTATATATATACACAGAAGTACTTACAGTCCATGCTTGGGTTTGGATTTGCAATGGCAGAAAACCAATTATTCACTAAACCACTTTCTGAAGATGATGCTACTTGATGTGTTCTTAAACCTGAGCACCTGAGAATAAGCCTTGAATTTGCTAATTTTGCATCTGCATATTAATTCATATCTCTTGCAGACTTTAGAGACGGCTGAGTACAAACTGCAAAAATTCACCAAGTCCCTCTTTCTCTGAGCCCAGATCTCTAGATTTTTGATAGTTTTAGCTGAAGACCTGTCAATAGCTTCACTAAATGAAGTAAGTCTCCAGCCAGGATTCATCTTTTATTTAGAAGCAGCTACATTGTTCCTTTGTAGGTTATACATTGCCCTCCTATGTCCCTGTTTACTCCTCTATCTGTTCTCTGGCATTATTCCCATTTTACTGTGCTATCTTTTTTCTACTTAAGCCACCTCAGGGTATTCCCATGGAAGGAATCCCGTGATAGAGCAGGCTGCTGAAGGTGCCCAGCTCAACATGCTTTGTTTCCTTTTAAAGTAATGTAGATGGGGATAAATGGGGCCCTTAAGAACCGCAGCTCTGGGGAGAAGGAACAGAAATGTCTCTCCTCCTTGAGAGTTTATACAT